CACCCCCCAGGCCGCCCGGCGGACCCCTGGGAAGGCGAGGGCAGCGTGCACGGGAGGGCTGCCTCTCGGGTCCGGTGGCCCGGGGTCCACCTAGCTAAACCAATGTCTTTTCCAGGACCTTCTGTGGTCTTGGCAAATCCCACAGCCCTGGTGAAGTTTAAACTCCTAACCCTGAAGGAAAGACAAGGCAGGACAACCTCACAGGTGAGATTCATCGAGCTGTTGGACATAGTGTGTCCCCTTTTATGTTTTTTTTCCCCCCAAATGAGAGGGGCAGTTAGCCCTTAATTTTCAGGAAATTCTCTTTACTGTGTCCAAATCCAGTTTAAATTCAAGTCTGTGGTAAAAGATATAAAAGGAGGATTATTGCTGGCAAAGTTCTGCATCTCTTTTTCAACAAACTGCATGCCTGTGGCAAAGCTAAAATAACAATAACAATGCAATGTTTACTAGTCATGGATGTCGTGTCTTTTGTCTCTTGTGTGGTTATTGCATTTGCAGTCACATGACGCTTGTTTTAATTTCTGCTTTGCTCTTTATGTACTAAATTACTACCATTCTGTACTTGATCTTGGTCAGCAAGACTTTTGTGCTGTGGTTATGTATGGTTTTTATGTATGTGTGTGAAAAAGAGAAGGAGAGAGTTCGGATACGCACAACAGAGTATGCATACTCATTGGATGTATGTATAGATACCAATGACTAAAAGATACTGCATATACATATATAGGTAGATATGAAGAATAACTGATATAAGAAATACAAGACATCAAATGGATCTAGTGGCACAAGAATGGGTTTTGACTGAGTTAGAGACCCATTAGAATTCAGAAGTATATTTATAGCCCTGTATATAGTTTCTCTTTAATTTATGTAGTATATGACTAGGTATATAAATTAAAGCAAAACGTAAACAGAAGACAATATCTCTTCCTCTGTGTCTTCCTATTTATGTATCCTCTTTCCTTTTTCTAATCCCTTTTGTATGCCCCCTGTCTACTTACTTCGGCCTTTTGCTTTCTAACTTGCTGCAGCTCTGTTTTCCATCCACCTACACTGACTTTTCAACGCTCCCATGTCCCCCCGTTGTTCTCCAGACACGGCTTTTCGATTACAGCTATTTTTTTGAATAAGCATATCACAAACTCTCGATGCAGTTGCTATTTTCAGTGATGGTTTTGCTATGCTTTAAACTGCTTTTTGCCTACTTTGTATCTAAGAATAGATTCATGCTTTCAAATATATTGTCTTCTCACTTTGATGTTTCTCTTAATACGGTCAAAGCAAATAGCACAGCAGGTGAACATTAGCAAAAGCCACAGCTCCACTCTCCCAGCAAGCGGCAAAAATGTGAATATGCACTAGGAAACCTAATTCATGACTGCGGGTAAATAGGTTTTTTTAATATTTCATACCCCTGTTAGACTTTTTTGTCATAGTGAACATTCATATATTTGCAAGTACACATCCATTTGCTCCCTTACACGCCAACACACACGTGCCTGCCCTTCCCTTACATCGATTTTTTTCTTCGTTTTTCTATTTTTCATTTGTTTTAGGAAATTCACAATTTTGTCCAGCCCTGAAGGTACGCTAGCTCATGTCACTCGCCCTCACGCTGCCAATAACTGCGTACAGTCAGAGTGCAATCGGCACAATGTTTTTCTCGCTTTAGTCCACGTCAATGGAGCAGTTGAGTGTAACAGTCATGGTGGTGAATTTCTTGGGCTTGCAGAAGGAACAAGATTGGAAGGAGCCTTCCTCCTTACGGACATGCCTGGGGATATAGAATGAATTGCACTGGCCGTAGCAGAACCTGTTGATTATGGTACGACTGTTGCAGCCTTCTTCGTGGATAGTTTGTTTGAGGGGTTGAGTTTTACACCAATCCCGCTTCAGGTATTTGCGCTCGGTGATGTGCAGTGCCTCCTGACTAGACTCCAGCACCTCTTCAGCGGGCATCGAGGTGCCTTTTCCTCGCTCTCGCTGTCTAGAGCCTGACTGCTGCTGTGTCTGTATTTGCTCTGAATCATTGGGCTGTTCCTTGTCAGGAGGAGGGATAGCACCTTGAGATCCGCGATTCCTCTTTCTCCCTTCTGCTGTCGGTAGCAGAAATCCCATCAGAAGAAACACAGCGCCGACGGCATACAGTGTGCGGACCATCCTGTATGGAGGAAGTCGAGGGAATAAAGCACAGTTGTGGGTTTCAGACATCAACAGAAGTCAGGTAAGCAGTAAATTTTCGGTTCCATAAAAGAAATGTGTGTATGAGCGCACACACGCTTATTGAAGATAAGCATTTAGCCTCTACCAGCTGGAAAGCTGTTTCCAAATTACCAAGTGATAAAAGCTTTCACATATGGTGATTGAAAGTCAGAGGCTAAAGTACGTCTAAACAGAATTTAATTGTGTGCATCATGCATCAGCTCTTTGCTCCATGTATACTACCCTGATTAAGAGTTCTTGTTCCCATCTTATAGCTCACTGGCACTGAGAATGTTGCTCCTGACTTGCACTGGTGGAAGAACAAATTTTATGCTACACAAGAGTATATATGATATAGCTATCTACAATACCAGGGGACTAAACTCTTTCATTCCGGAGATCCAGTCTAGCTGTGTATTCCTTAGTCAGACACAGAAGCTTTGTACAGCTTCTTGCTTAATATATATATCCAGAATATAACATGCATGCTATAGCCAGCTGTTATCGAAGTTACAGCATCCCAAGCTCTATCACACTGCTCCTCTGAATTGGTCCAGTGCGTCTGAGTGTAATGAAGCTTAAGAGACATGCAACAAGACAAGCAACTACATAAAAGAATATTTAGGTATAGGTTAAAAGAGACACATCCGTAATGTCAAATTACACCTTCTCACACATTACTCTGAATTCTTGACAGAAGTTACACAGATGCAGAGTGTTAAGAATATTTCAGATCTCTGATTTTTATAGTATCTACAGCATGATATTGAAAGGACATCTGAGGACAGCAGAGTTTCATATACGACATGGAGTATCATGTAGTTTGTGCACACAAAAAACCCACTTCTTCAAAACTGCACCCCTGCTCCAAGCCTCATTAACAGTGTAGGAACGGCCTTTCTTGCCTCCTTTATTCCACCATTTCGCTGCTTCCCAAAGCTCTGAGCTCTTTTTACTGCTCAGTCAGCTCAAGATACCAACCAGCTGGGAATAAACTCATCAGCTGTGACCCTTTTCCCCCTTCCAGAGGTACTGTGGTCTCCATGTTGTTCTGGAAAGCAAGGGATGAGGCAGCAAGAGAGACAGATTGGGGAACGAGGCTCTCCAGGCACCCTCACCGTGGGGAGCTTGGAAGAAACCACTAGAAACGAGCAACTGCTTGCAAAAACCCGTAAAGCAGCAGAACTGCAAAGAGGCACGTGCATTAAAAAGGGGAAGAACTGTGAGAAAAACCTGAGGACGTTAGTGTCTTCTACCTGCTTAGAGTACTGTGGTTGTTGCCCTTCTTTGACTTGTTTTATCAGTAAGGGACAAATTACTGTTATTGTGTTGCTACCCAAAAACCATATGTGAAACCAAGGGCACCATCCTGGATGGCTTTATCGGCTCTGCCTGAGGCCACACAGCTCGGCAGGAAAGCAGACAACTGCCAGCGCTGCCAGGGCTGCCTCGAGCGGCCTCAGTAGGGGCTCGGGGTAACTACCATCTGCTGTAAAAGGTAACTGTGAATTTCTTGGTTACTAGGTCTTTCTCATCACGCAGAGAAAATAAACGTTACGCTATACTGGTCAAAAAGTGTTTCTCACCAAACGCATGGGGAAAGGAATTACTGGAGTGGAAAAGTGTCGGAGGGGGGTTCCATTGTATTCAGGGGTTTGCTTGTGGATCTAATATTTTAAGTCTTTGTCTACAGATTGTAGAGCACCTACAGTTCATAACACCTATGATAAATATATACATTTGTTTTATTCGTTCATGTTTATGTACCAGTATGTCCTATGTTTGGCAGAAGCTTCAGACTTCAAGCGAGGGATGTAAGAACGACACTATTGCCGACTCCAGTGGACAACTTGGAAGAGCTGCTTTTAATATCTGAATGAGCTCTGGTACAGAACACGCAAATTTAATAACCTCACGGCTCTGACATAGAACACAAAAAAAAGTCGGGAATTCTAACTGAAGACTAATGCAGCATAATTTCAAGTGTCAACTTGGACTTCACATGTGCTGGTTTTTCCCCATTTCTATTACAACCTGAATGTTACTTAAAATGTTTCTTTTTAAATTTAGCTTTTAACATATTTTTTAAAAGAGTTATAAGCCACTGCTTATTTCCTCAAGAGACCAGACTGACTCGTTCCAAAACTATTCCTATTTCTCCATTGACTGTATATCCATGCTGTATTAGAGAGTATTTTAATATGCACTTTATTTGATCAACATGGTGTCAGAGCCTTAAAAGAAGAGGGGGGAAAAAAAAAGTCATTGCATGCAATTGAAAAGAAATTGCTAGTTTATAAGCAGTGCCAGGAAACTTCAGGTGTTTGTTTAGTGTCTCATAACTGAGCTCAAGTTCCACGAACGTGCTTATTCCTGGACTACTTTTATTTCTAAAACTGATGACCTCCACATTGCCTCACCTTCCCCCTCCAAAAAAAAATGTGCAATTGATGACACAGTAAAGTCTAGCCATGTGAAATTTAGGTATACTTTGGGATGGGAATTTGGAGGAAATTTGATGGTCATGTTTACTATTGTAAGACCTGTATCCCAGACTCATGCATCTTTATTAAGCATGTGCTTCACCCTAAGGAAATGCAAGCATGTTTCAATATAGTCCTCGGCTGGGGAAGGGAAGGTAGTTGGTTTGCAGCCTTAAAGGCAGAGGTTATATTACATGCTCATAAAAGAAACTGTGACTCAAATGAAAATTAGCAACTCAGCAAAACCATTTGTTAAGGTCACTTCCAAAACACACGTCTAAAAGTAAAAGTAATCCAACCATTTTAGGGCTAAAATACAATTTAAACATAGATCCACAGAAGAGGCTGTGTGAACTTCATGACCCCCACAGGAGGTCAAGCAGGATCTTATTTTGATAGTAACTTCTTAAACATTTATTTTAAAAAAATAAGTTTATTTTTTAAAAATGCAAAATAGAAAGGAAAATGAGGTGGTATGCCTCAATTGGGAAAGAAGCCAAAATGCAGTGCAGGCACTCTACACCACCTCTGGTCCCAAGGCAGAGCATCCGCTTATGAGAGAAGGCAACACCTCTGTCTGCTTACATTAGGAACTGGAGTGGCTCATCCAGCCATGAATTAGTGTTTGTGAAACGTTTCCTTAACAGGGTTTTTTATTACTGCAAAGGAACAGAACACAGAAGAGTACCCGTAGCTAAATCAGTGTTATTACACCCAAAGTTTTACCAAAAAGAAATCTCTCATGAAGTTAATGGTGTTTTCCTTGTCACAGTCATAGCTCTGAAGAAATAATAACTCCGGAGCTCGGGTAGGAGCTGTAAGGAATCAGGCTGTAAAATCTTATATTCCAAATTTCTGCAAAATTTTCAGTACTTAATACTGGCTGTCACACTGGCATAACCAGAAATCCCAGAATCCATCTGGGAATCCTTTGAACAAACAGATGAGCATAACCAAAATGGTCCATTACCACTCACCTCATTCAGATCCAGAAAGATATAATAAAATTCATATTTATTTTTTAAAAGTAACAAAATACTTCCCAAATCTGTTCTTCCCATTTTTCACTGCTAAGCTGAGTTCTACTTTTCATCATCTGTAAGCTCTCAGTCCTAAAGCCAAGAGAAGTTTTATTGCTGACTTCAAACAGGAGCAGAATTGGGCCCTAACATTGATCTCACCTCATATGTGGTTTATCTAGAGCCTGGGATCTTGTCATCTAAAACAGATTAGGAATTTTGTGGATTAATACTAGCAACTGTTCATAGAGAAGTGTAAATTATTTCAGGTTTATTATTTCACACAAGCTGTAATTTTTTCATTTATACATTTTGTACTATAAATTAAGGATCTCCACATGTCAGTTCATAAACAGCACTTCCCTAAGAGTTCCCAAGCAGAGTCAGAAAGTTATTACTGAAATTCTTAGCACAAAGCAACTTGTTTAAAAGAACTGGACAGAATCCTGGTTCTGCTGAAATATACAGCAAAATTCTCACAGACCTCGGCAGGCCCATAATTTCATCTGTGAACCATATTTACTGGGAAAATATTATGATGAGCCACGAACTTATGTGCTTCACAGAAAACATGAAAAATAATCTGATGAAGATTTAAAAAAAATAAATGTATTTGGTGGGCTTCAAATACCAGCCAAAGAAAGAGGCAAAACCCAGCCCTTTGAATACCGAGAAAATTGAAGCGGTTTGTGTCCCGAAGGATCAGGATAATTTTATGCCTGGCTTATTATATATATGAATTACAGAAATAGTCTTATGTAATGTTTTCATAGTTCACAGATCTGTATTTTTAAACATACAAAAAGGCATGGCAATGGCAGTTCCCAGAGAACCATCCTTTTTTTTTTTCTTTTTTTTTTTCCTGAGATCAAGGCAGCAAAACTAACATCTCTGGTAGGATTTGGATGCATTTACATTACAGATAAATCCTTCACGCCAGTCATAGAGGTGATAGCTTTCTTTGAGACATGTAGCGAGTGTAGGCAGCATCACAAGAAAGAAAGAAAGAAAACAAGAACTTTGAAACGTCGAGCATTCCCCCTTCAAGCACGCACCGCTCCGTCGGACATCCTACGGAACTACCGGGAAGCCGAACGTCCCGGCGGGCACTACCGGGAAGCCGAACATCCCGGCGGGCACGGCTGGTGCCAAACCCGCGTCC